GATTGAGCATTCTTTGGGTATATGCCCAAGAGTGGTATAGCTGGGTCTTGAGGTAGATTGATTTCCAGTTTTCTGAGACACTGCCATATTGATTTCCAAAGTGGTTGTACAAGTTTGCACTCCCACCAGCGATGGAGATGTGTTTCCCTTGTTCCACATGCTCTCCAGCATAAGATGTGATTGGTGTTTTTGATCATCCATCTTTTGAATTCTCTTGGTGATGTTTGCATTTGTAGTTCCTGTTTACTTATCCAGATCATCCATTTCCTGAATTTCCTCAGTTTGTTTTTTCTTTATTGCTTCTGTTTCTATTTTCATGTCTTGAAACATTTCCTTCACCTGTTTGTTTTTCCTTGGCATTCATTAAGGGATTTGTTGATTTCTTCCAATTTTATGGTTGTCTTTTCCTCAATTTCTTTAAGGGAGTTTTCCATCTCCTCTTTAAGTACCTCTATCATCCTCATAAAGTTGGTTTTAAGGTCATTTTCTTGTGTTTCCTCTGTGTTGGAATATTCAGGGCTTGTTGTAGTGGGATGGGTGAGCTCTGATGGAGACATAATACCTTAGCTCTTGTTGCGTTCTTACACTGATGTTTAGACATCTGGTTTTGGAGTGATTAAAGGTCTAGGTAACCATTTCTAGGTTTGTCTTTGTTGGATGGATGTTTCCTTCCTTGGTTTCTGTTTCCTTTCTGGTCGTCTGTGTCCCATGGCCTGTGGTGGAGTAGAGGGTCTCTGTCTGTGTTGGGGGCTGGACTTCTGATGGCCCGGATGGCCTCTGGTCCAGCAGCGGGTTGCTGCCCAAGTTTGGTTCTGGCTGTGTGTATGTGTGGCCTCTATCTGGCTGGGCCCTCTTTGGGTTCAGATGCTGCCCTGTCTTCTAGTGGGGTAGGAGGTTTCTGCCTGATTTTCAGGGAATTGGCCTTATCTCTCGAGTTCAGGATGCTGGTCTGGCTTCTGGGGATCAGGATTCTGGCCTGGCCTCTGATGAGGTGGAAGATGGGACGTTTCCCCAAAGGTGTGGGCCAGGGTCAGGTGGCAAGGAGAAGGGCACTTGGGTTATGCTGGGCAGGGCAGGAGGGGGTTGGTTGGGATGGTGGCTTACCTGGTTTTCAGGAAGCTGGCCTGGCCTCTGATGGGGTGGAAGGCTTCTGTCAGAAATGTGGGCCAGGATATGGTAAAGAGGAGAGGAGGGGCAGTTGGAGTTAGGCTGGATGAGAGAGGGTGGGGTGAGGGTCAGATTACCTAGGGTTCAGGATGCTGGCCTGACCTCTGGGGGTGAGAAACTTCTGCCAGAGGTGTGGGCCAGGATCAGGAGGCATGGAGAGGAGGGGCACTTGGGGTAATTGTTACCTTTTTTAAATAAAGAAGAAAATAATTAAAAACCTACCAAAAGTAAGTCATCTATTAGGGTGACAGAAACAAGATAAATAAGCTTCATAACTTCCTTTAAGTAATAGCAATCAATAGCTACTATACATTTTATATATTTATTATATGTTATATATGTGTGTACATGTATGTGCATTTGACCTTGTTTGACACCACAACCAAACCTTCCAACAACTATAAGCCACTTAGGAGAGACTTTATTAAGAAATGCATGAAAGCTACCTGCATTCTGGTTAGAAGATGTTCTGAATCTAATTATGTGGCTCTGAATCTCATTTTCTGTATTTAATAGCTGTGACCTTAGGAAAGCTTGACTTTTCTATGTATATGTCTACAGAAGAATATATATGCATGTGTCATTATCAAGATATTCATTTTGTATTGCTATTGTAACAAATTACTACAAACTTATAAATACTCATTTATTATCGTACAGTTCTATGGGTCAGTCAGTAGAGTGTGACTGAGCTGACTGTTCTGTCTAGAGGATCCAAGGTCAGATGAAGGTGCTGTGGAGGGTGAACTCCTGTCTGGAGACTCTGGGGATACATCTCCTTCCTGTTGTTGGCAGAATTCAGCTCCTACTCGTTGCAGGACTCAAGGACCCACTTGCTGGTTACTGTCAGCTGGAGGCAACTCCTGGGTTTTCGAGGACACCTGCCTTCCTTGGCTCATGGATCCCTTCATTTAAAATCATCAGTGGAAGACCGTATCCCTCATACATGCTCTTTGGCCTTGTCACTCCCACTCCATTCTGTTTACATCTCTAACCACTTCTGCTCTGCTTTCCTTATCTTCAGGACTCACAGCATTGCATTGGTCCATCCAGATATTATTTTAAGGTCATCTAACTTGTAAACTTAGTCAAACCTGCAAAACCCCATCACACCGGCACATATATTATAGTTATTTGATTGAGCGACCAGAAGATGAGACTCTTGAGGTAACACCCTTGGAAATCCCCCAGTCACACACAGATCATACAAAGCCACAGGATTAAAGATGAAATCCCTGGGAGCCACCAACTCAGACTCAGACGCAGGTTTTGAAGCCCTCAGATATTACATCTAAACATGATAGCATTCCTGTTCTTATTTCACATTCCTTTTGCACTTAAGGCTGCTGGAATCCAGGGTGATATCCAAAGTTAACAAAGTAATAAAAGAGAATGGGAGCAGCCCATCCCTTCCCACCCAGGGCAGCAGCTTTTTCATTCGGTTCCCACTTCTCGAGCATGAACAGCATCAGTTTCCTCTCCCACCACACCTCCCAGCTACCCTGTGATACCATTTCAGTCTTTGTGGACTCGTGTGTGCCCTGTTTAGTTGATTCCGTGGGCCGTATTCTCCTTCATCCCCTCTGATTCCTACAATCTTTCCAGCCCTTATTCTATGGGAGTCGCCTAGCTCTGAGGGGAGGGCCTCCATGAAAACTGCCAATTTAGACTTTCTCTTCACATAATATCTGGATATGGGTCTCTGCATCTGCTGTCAGAGGAAGCCTCTCTGATGATGACTGGACAAGGCACAGATCTATGAGAATCATTAGGAATCATGTCAGTGATATTCTTTTTTTAAGCCAGGACTATTTTGTTCTACCCTAGGTCTCTGGGCTATCCAGTCTCTGGTTCCTGGCCTTCCAGGCAGTGTAGGGCACGGACTCCCTCTTGTAATGTGGGCCTCAGGTTAAAGCAAACATTGGCTGGCCACTCCCACAACTTCTGGGCCACCACTGCCCCAGCACATCTTGCAGGCAGGACAGATTATAGGTCGATGGTTTTGTGGCTGGGTTGGTGTCCAAGTTTCTCTTTTGGTAGCCTGCCAAGTACCTTCCCATGCCAAAGAGGATATAGAGCTGAAGGCTCCATGAAGGCACCAGCTCAACCTCTCTATGTTCAGTGAGCTGTAATGGATGCTGTCCTTGGCAATGGGGCTCTACTGTCAGGTTTTGGAGAGCAACCCTCTGTCTTAGCATCAGCATGGGTTCTTTAGGGATTTCCATGAGACCCCCTTGGCCAACAACTCAACCAAATTCAAACCAATCCCATCACTGGAAACCTTGCCTAACTACAGAAGATGGCTAGTTCAAACTCCATATCCTCCATTACTAGGAATCCTCACTAGGATTACCCTCTTAGATTCTAGGAAGTGTCCATTGTACTAGGTTTCTAAAGCCCCCACACCTCTAATAACAGCTGTCTCTCCTTGCACTCTCTCTCTTAAAAAAACAAAGCAAAACAAAACAAAAACACTTGGGTTTGGTTCAGTACTTCAGTACAAGTATCAATCAATCTGTAGTTTCTGCATGTACACATGACATCTCTAAGTAAATCGGATTTTTCTAAAGACACACAACAAATGCCCTAAAGAGACTTGAATGGCAAGCTCGGTATGGAGACTTGAATGGCAAGCTCGGTATGGAGACTTGAATGACAAGCTCAGTATAGAGACTTGAATGACAAGCTCAGTATAGAGACTTGAATGACAAGCTCAGTATAGAGACTTGAATGACAAGCTCAGTATAGAGACTTGAATGGCAAGCTCAGTATAGAGACTTGAACGGCAAGCTTGGTGTAGTGGATGGAACAACTAATGCTGAATTCCCAAGGCTTAGCAGAGTCCTCAGCAGTAAGATGGAGCACACAATGACGCCCTCCTAGGAAGGAGGAGTGACTGTGAGAATTTGGAAGTGGCACCAGGCTCTTGGGCCATGCCTTCTGCCTGCTGCAAGGTACTTTGCACATGTCATTATAATAGTGATGAGATTATTTTTTCAGAAGCCATCCCATGCTCTCTCCCACCAGAGCACTTTAGGAGGAGAGGACATCCCTCAACCCAGCTACCTAGTTCAGTCCCAGGCACCACCTGAAGCACCCTTCACTCTTAAGAATCAAGTGAAATAATTCTGAGTTTCAATAGCCCAGCAAAACGCTAATACTTATCAAGATATGGATGAAGACTTTTTTTTTTCAGCTCTTCTGTCCTCCTCTGTGCCTGGGCTCCTGTGATAGCTCTAGAAGCCTCTGCCTCAACTGGCCCAGACTCAAACTTAACATTTCCTTTTGTTCTCTAAAATGACACTTTTTATAGAACTCATTAGTGAAGCAAATCTGTTTCTCCAAGGATCATATAATCTTCCCCAAGGAAGACCGTTCCCATTGCATGTGCATAGCAACAGAGTTCATATATATATATATATATATATATATATATATATATAATTTGTTTTCCAAAGTCTTCCTGGCAACAACTCACTAGTAGGAATTCTTCTGCCTCCACTTACCTCAGCTCCACCAACTCCTTTTTTAACCATTTTCCCATTGACCTGCCTAACTTCAAAATCCCTTCCATTCCCAGAGTGAGGCAATCTCACTGGCTCCTATCCCCTAACATAATACATGAACTGATGAGCTGCCCCATGGCCCAAAGCCTTTGCTGTACCATGATTCCTCCTACATAGGCCTTAAAAATCACAACCAGCCATTTCCTATTAGCTATGACTTACCCATTTCCTGACTTGTGCTCCGAACACTAAATGGTATTTGTCTCATAGTTCTGTGGCCCTGATCTTAAAGGAATTGCCTTTGTCATATTTGTTTTTGTTCCAAAGGTGTCCCTCAGCCTAATGTAACTTGGTTGAAGAGAGGAGGATCTCTGAGTGACAATGTTTCCTTGCTTTTCAATGGATCCCTGTTGTTGCAGAATGCTTCCCTCGACAATGAAGGAACCTACATTTGCACAGCCACCAATGCTCTTGGGAAAGCAGTGTCAACCTCTGTGCTCCGCTTGCTGGGTGAGTGTCCGACTCCAATTGTTCCTGATGAGTCCTGTGATGTGTAAAAAGCAGGGGCCAGACTTGTTGACACTGGAATCAAAGTGTGAGTGACACAGGTGTGTCACGGTTCTCACCCCGCCATCACTGCCTACTTAAAGTCACTTATAACACCCTGTCATACCAGTTCTCCTCTCGGAAGGCTGTGATTGCGAAGCTACTCTTCTGCCCAAGCAACATGTCCTTTTCTGCCAGCATTAAAACTTTTCATGTCATGCCTCTATGTCTACTTAAATCTCAACCCCAATTGTATGTGGGTGCAGTACTGAGGTCTGTTTTAGTTAAGATGATTTCTGGTCCTGTGAAATGCATGTGCGCACATACACACAACACACACACACACACACACACACTCATAAACACACACAGAAAGAGACTCAAACACACATGCAAGAATGCACACACCCACCTACTTCTAGACCTGTGGGATTCTATTAGAATTCTAGCATTCTATTAGAAAAAGTCCCTCTTCATAGTTGTCTTCAAGAACATTCAAACAGGAATGAGAATTTGATGGCTTTTGATTGGTTAGATGTGTTACACATTGTTTTCTCAGAACGAAGAGGCCTGGGCAGTAAGACTGTATTTCCTAAGGCTCAGAAAAAGCATGTTCTCCAGGCATCCAGCATCAGAGCAAACAGCAACAACTCAACAGGAGAGCCCCTGCCTCAAGGTCTGGAATTTTGACTGTTTACAGATTTCCTTTCTGGGCATGCATTTTTTTTGCTGGGCGACCTCTATGATTTTCTCTTTGCAATGTATTCCTTGGCATTTACTTAGGGTTTTTTCCTGCCCCTCAGTCTTTGGTAGCTCAATCTATTCCTTTCACAGTGGGACAGTTTTTGAAATGAGGCAGCTCATGGGGCTCATATCCATACTACACATCATTATTTGTAATAATGTAGATACTGATTTTCCAGTTTCAAAACTATCATCACCCAAATAGATACCAGCAGAAGGAAGTTCTCCGAAGGTTGTGGGATCAGTTCTTTCATTTTCTATTCACACACAAATTTCCCATACATCCCAACCTATTATGCACTGGTACATGATCAAAAGAATCTATACCAGGTGTTCCAAGCTTGTAACCCTCTTCAGAAGGCCAAAGGAAGTAAGGTGGAAATAAGAAAACCAGAACGGACAGTCAGGAAAACTGGTAATGATCTCAGCTCCTTGTCACTCAAAAGTAGGTTGTGATGGCCAAAGGACAAACCAAAACTACTGTCAGGCCACATGTTTCACTGCTATGATATCATTTGGGGATTTGAAATTCTGAGGAGTTCCTCAAAGCTGTACAATGTATCATGTAGAGTATCATCCACTACATAGGGGGTCTAGAAGATAAAGTTTCTAAGACCCTTACTTCCTGAGATTTAAGGGAGAGGATAGGAGGGTAAATGGTGTTAAGCTGTCCATCAACACTGCACTACATGTTAGTGATGACATCACTACCTAAGATGGCCATTTAGATGTAATGCTACCATTATTATACAATAAATTGTGTATTCATTTGACATTCGGTGATAAGTGCTGAGCACTTGCTTCTCCTATGACTGTGGCCCTCCAGTCTTAGTCTCTGAAACGCTGACAGTCTAAGAGGGAGACATGCATGTGAACAGTTCTTCTGAGGCAGTGTAGTGAATACCATGAGAAAAACATGGCTAACACACAAGGGCATTGCTGAAGAAGAGGCCCAACCTCTTTCTGAAAATGTCAACTAGGTTTTGTTCTGGGAAGAGAAAGAAGGACCCTCCAATGAGAGAAACTAGAATGTGAGAAACATTTAGATGTTATATGTGCCATGGGCTCAAAGACTGTAAGAATCACTGCAACAAATAAAATAGATATTCATGAGCGCAATGCTGTTGTAAGGCCAAGCCTTTGTTGTAGACAGCACTTGGCTTATTGGGACTATTTACATCATTTTAGCACCTTGTGCCCAGACCCAGAATTTACCTACGTAGAAATGTATACAAATACTTAAATGTGCATGCTGCAAAGTGCGCCAGCCTTTGGTCATGAATTAGCCTGTCATTTTATAGAGTTATTTGTTAACCAACGTTACTTCAGTGACTTATAGATGGTATACCCTGTCCTTATGTTGAATAGGACAGCATGTATGGATTTGAGGTAGGAAACTTTCAGGTAGGAAAGATAAACAAGAACTAAGTAAACAAATAAGTGTGTGTATATTCTTTGTAGTTAAGCACTAAGGATGAAATGTTCTGAGCAGTGGGGTACATGTTTGGTAGTGACTGCTTTTGAGGAAGATAGTCAGAATGGGCCTTCTGGGAGGAGACATGTCAGCCTAGACCCAATGGATGAGGTGGAGCCCTCTGTGCAGCAGGATGGGGAAGGGGCATTCTCAGAGGGGTTTAGTTAGTGCAAACTACACATTGAAAGTAGCTTGATGTGCTTACGGAACAAAAAGAGCATGCGTGCAATGAGAGGACAGAGGGGAAGGAGCTGCTAAGAACCAGCCATCCAGGGCTTCAAGGGTCAGGTTAAAATGTCAGGAGTCACCAAGGGGTTTTAGATGGGAGTGTCAGGCTGTGATCTACTTTTCGAAAGCAACTGGAAAAATATTGGCAGAGCCTGTTTCCCCATTCTAATGATTTCCCAACTGAGCGATTTTGGCCTGTCTGTAGCAGAACATATTTCTGATGAAGAGCTGTATGGAAAACATAAGGAACTCCTTCAAGTTAACAGTGGCCACCATTCCCCCCACTACAAAACAGTATACAAAAGCCCTTGACAGACTCTTCATGAAAAGTGGCATACAAGTGTGTTGTGTGGCACTGTTTCTGGGGAGACCTGAACAGATGTCCACTCAGCACAGATAGGGAACTGACAAGAGACCAAAGTAAGGACACCAACCAAGTCCACCTTGGTGAACCGAAGAAGCAGCTTACAGGCATATGGGTGAGGGCTACTTGGCAAGAGTTAGGATGACTCAAAGGGAGCCACAACACCGAAAGCCCCGCCCACCAACATGGCGACTGCTTGTGACAGCTGGAACCTTGGAGCTCACTGTGGGACTTTCAGGCAGCCCAACAGGTCTGAGTGTCTCTTCAGGCAGCCTGCCTGATGTGAGTCTCCTCAGCAGTCCTTATTGCTTCCTTAGCCTTGGGAAGGAGGAGTCTTGCACATCTGGTTGGTTTCAGGGACTTGAGTCCCTTTAGAATCTCCTGGGTCTCACTGAATCTTGGAAGAAATCGCTACACAAAAGGAGACAATGGGCAAATGCAGATCAAAACCAGGAGATGCAAGTTCATGCCTACTAGAATAGCCGAAGACAAAAACACGAACTAAATTCGAGCAAAGGATATTTCCATCGAAGCTTCCATATGACAGTCAGCAGAGACCACAATGGAAAACTGTGGGGCGCTTTGTAGCTAAACATACAGCCATCCTCAACCCAGAAATTCTACTCACAGGTTTTCATTCAAGCAGAGTGAAAACAGGCTCACATAAAAAAGTTTGTGAGCTGTCATGATAGCTGTTGACAGCAGCATGAAAGACTATGATGTGTTCAGAGATGGTGCATTATTTAGCAGTAAAAGAAGATGCACTGTGGATACTCCCAGTGATATGACTGAATCCCCAAACATAGTATACTAAGCAAAGGAAGCTAAATACAGAAGCCCAGTAAGAAGGAAAGTCAATATATACTGATAGTTAAAAAAAAAAAAATGTGGTCACCTGAGAGGGGAAGGGGCTGATTGAAAAATGGCAAAATGAAAGCTTTAAGGGTGTTAAAATCTTCTTTACCTTGCTGTGGATCATAGACAAAAGAGTTCAGATAATTGTGAAGCTCATAAAAATTGAGCTCTGAGCACTTGCTTGTATATAAATTATACTTTAATAAATGCCCAATCTTTTTTAAAGAAAGGCACATAAAAATAAAATTAGCAGCTTTATAACAGAACATGGAAGAGTCAATAAAAAATTAATTTTTCAAGTGTCTAACCCACTATTTGTTCACCCTGGAGAGTCTCAGTAAATGGCCACCTTGAAAAAAGCTGTTTTGAAATAAACTATGATTCTGAAAGTCCAACTGGAGATATAATTTATGGTTCTGCTCTGCACATGATGCCATGTGCAATTTAAGGTAAAAACTCAAAACTCAGAATGGAAAACAATAAGTTAAATAAACCATTCCATTCTGAGAGATCATGTGGACACAGCTGGTAGCTATCAATTATTCATGATCATTGCAGGGAAATTTGGCATTTTCTGTGGCCATCCACAAAACTGTCAGCATCGTGTCCTACCTCATCTTTTATCGAGTGTCGGCAGGGAAGGGTAACACGAAAGCTGTGATTACTGGGGGTGCTTGGCTACTACTTGTCTAAAGGAAACCTCATACTTACCTTTCCAGATGTCTCCAGAGCAAATTATTTATGCAGTTTTAGGGCTGATGTGGTGTTTGGGTTAAGAATTAATGGAAAAGTAAGGGTGGGACTCAAATGCATCTCACCTTACTCCTTAATCCCTGGTCCCTGGTCCTCCTTCTAAATCATCTTCCTTGCTCGGCCTGATCTGTTTTTGGAAAATGGACAGCATTAAGGCATCCTTGGGGAGGCCTTCCTCCCTGTGCTGTTGGCTCTGCTTAGAGAATGCTGGGGAAGCATTGGCTGGACAGTGCCTCCTCCCTTCCTCTTGGGTTTTTCCAGTAGACCTAGCTGACCTGCAATGGCCATCTCCCAGGCTGGGCTCCAAGGAGCCCATTCTGGCCATCATTTCCAGTCACGAGTGTAATAGTCACTCAAGAGAAAGTAAGCCTCACGCTGTGCAATGGCCTTTTCCATGTGTATCACTTAAACTGCAGGTAGGCATTTAACCACAGAACGATTCATGGTGGTCTTTGCCCTGTTGCCTCCAGAGCGTCATCTTTTCTTATTTGGGGTTGTTGGTGACATTTTCTTTCCTTTCTGCAGAGCCTTTTTGGGAACCTGGTAACTGGACACCTTGTTCTGCCACCTGCGGCCCCTTGGGCGTCCGCCTTCAGAGGCCCCAGTGTGTGATGGCCAGTGGGCAGAAAGTGAGTGAAGCCCTCTGTGGTCCTCACAGGAAGCCGCTGGCTGGGTTTCAGTCTTGTAACATCCGGGACTGCCCAGCAAGGTATGTATGTTTAGTTACTTTCATAACAGTACACTAGTTTTTGCTGGTTTTGAAATATATAATAGGGGCTGGGGAGGTTAAGAGTAAGGGAGCTCAGTGGTTAAGAGCACTGGCTGCTCTTCCAGAGGACCCAGGTTCAATTCCTAGAGCCCACATGGCAGCTCACAACCATCTGTAAGTCCAGAGAATCTAACACCCTCTTCTAGCTTCTGCAAGCACCAAGCACAAACATGGAGAACAAACATACATTTAGGAAAATACCTATACACATAAAATAATACAAAAAGTTACTTTTTAGAGGCACAGTGATTTGGACTGGGTAATAGCTCAGTTGCTATACTCAGAGAAAGTGTTAATGTGAAATAAATGATTGTCACATAGTCTAGCAGAAGGCTGATCAAATGACACAAAAATAAATAATAAAAAACCAATTAACTGAAGAGGTGTTTTTGTATTTTTGAGTTCAGATCGATGAGGCAGGTGTGATTTTTCAGCCCTAATTTTCTGATTAAAAGATGGAGAGTCAGGGGCTAGAGAGATGGCTCAGTCGATAAGAGGCTTGTTGCTCTTGCAGAGAACCCCAGTGCCCAGCACCCATGTCTCTGGGCTCACAAATGCCTGGAACTGCAGCCCCAGTAGATCCTATGCCCTCTTCTGCCTTAGTGGAAATCCATAGTGTGCACGCATGCACGCGCGCGCACGCGCACACACACACACACACACACACACACACACACACACACACACACCATGTACACACTAATAAAAAATGGTACAGATTGTTTTCAATAAAATATTACTGTTCTACAGCTCCATTTCCTATACAAATGTCACAGGTGGCCCATGCCTCAGAAGACTGTGAGAAGCAGAGTCACTGTGTCAGACAGACACAATAGCTGCTTTGAGGCATGATGTCCTTAGATGGACTGTCAATGTTACAGGCATTCTACCTGCCATAACTTTGAGTAGCTACTATCATTTCTAAATGGACCGTGTCATACCAAGAGTCACCCTTGAGAAAACATACATCTCAAATTACGAATCCACAGGGAACCTAGTCCTTTGGTGTACAGTGACTCTGTTAAACCTTGTAGGTGGCACACTCATCACTGCATTGGTTCTCTCCACCTAGTGACACTGCTGTTCCCTGAGAGGTGGGGAGGAGGAAGACTGGAAGTCACCTATGCCTCAACCTTGTCCTGGAGAGACATGTGACTCCCCTGACACCACCATAGTGTTAAGATAAACAAATTAGCCTTTTCTGGACAGTCCTTGCTAAGGTCCTGTAGCTTTTGTTTCTAGGTGGTTTACGAGTGTGTGGTCCGAGTGCTCTGTGTCTTGTGGTGAAGGACTTCATAGTCGGCAAGTGACATGCAAACAGACAAAAGCCAATGGAACTGTCCAGGTGGTGTCCCCAAGGGCATGTGCTCCTAAAGACAGGCCTCTGGGGAGAAAATCGTGTTCAGTCCGTCCCTGTGTTCAACAGGCCATTGACCCAGGAAACCAGGTAAGCTTAGGTGTTGGCAATGTTATCTGCAGTCACCTCTTTGTTACTAATGAACTTTAAAGGTGTTTTAGAATACCCAACTTGAAGTATTTATTCAATATTGAAATGATATCATATGTTTGTGACCATATGAAGTAATCCAGGCACAGAAAACAGACTATGATTCCACTTATGTATGTGTCTAATCAAGTTCATAATAGTGAATAGAACAGTAGTTTTAAGTTGTGCAAGATGAATGTGTTCTAGTGAGCAACTATGCAAAACAGTATTTATAAATAATATTGCTGTAGTGTATACTTTAAAATTGTTAATGGGCCATGTATTTTCCTTTTATTGAAAATAGATTTTTTTCCCTCATATAATATATTCTGACTATGGATTTCCCTCCCTCTAATCTTTACAGTTTCTCCTCACCCATCTGGATCCACCCCCTTCCTGTCTCTCATTAAAAAACAAACAGGCTTCTAGAGGATAATAATATAGTAAATACAATATAATAAGATAAAACAAAAACTAACACCTCAGAATAGGACAAAACAAACAGAAGGAAAAGAGCCCAAGAAAAAAAGCACAAGAAACAGATATAGATGAAGAGATCCACTTGTTTGCACATTTAGGCATCCCATAAAAACACAAACCTGGAAGTCATTATATATATATATATATATATATATATATATATATATATATACAAAGGACCCGTGGAGCAAAAAGAAAGAAAGTTAATTAATTAATTAATTAATTAATTAGAGAAAATTGTAAAAAAATTAAATAAATACCATGACATTATGAGACACAGAACCTCCAAAGATGCCATTGAGTTCATTTTCTGTTGGCCATCTGTTGCTGGGCATGCAACCTACCCTTAAGAGTAGTTTGTTTTCCCAGTGAGACTCCCTTGGAGAAAACTTAACTTTCATTTGCAAGTGGTTGTCAATTGAAGATCGCTTCTGGGTTAGGGATGGGGCGGGCATCCACTTCTTTCAGCTTTAAGAACCCATCTGCTGCAGATCTTTGGAGGTCCTGTTCATGCTGCCTCAATCTCTGTTAGTTCATATGTGTGTGTGTCCTGTTGTGCTTAAAGGGCCTTGTTTCCTGGGTGTTAAAAGACAGCATATTATTAAAATGAATAAATTAAAAGTTGGACAAATAGAAGACCTATTATTTTGCTAAATGGAATATCAGGACTACAAAGACCCAGAAATGAGGTCACATATGAAATATAATTTTAATTAAATGACAGAACCTTTCTTTGGAACTTAATATAAATCTGAACTTTATTCTGAGAACAAATAAAGAGAAGGAACTTTCAGAAAGTCAAACTATGGGAGGTAGGGAGAGCCCCTTCCTCATCCTATGCCAACTAGGATACAAATTCGTTCCGAGCAACAGTGCACCATTGGGGCAGGAATAGACACGGAATCTGGAGTATAATTACTGCACAGAACCAGATCAATTGATCAGTGACTTCAAGTTCAAGGGTAGTAAGTCAAGCAGGAAGATTGGTTTTGAAGAAACTAAATAGCATAACACTACCAAATGTTTTTCAAAGAAATTAAAGGTAATCTACAAAAATAGAAAGATTTCCTGTGTTTGTGAGTGGCATGATATTGCTAATACCCACACTCTCCAAATTTATCTAAAGATTCACAGCATTCTCTACCAGAAATCGGCAAGCTGAATCTAATCTAAAATCTGCATGCAACTAAAAATAATCCACAATATCCAAACAAATCTTTTGAGATAGAATAAGTTGGAGGATCCAAACTTCTTATTTTAAAACTTTCTACAAGACAGTGCTGTTCTAACGGGAAAGACATACATCTCTGAAAGAGAACGGAATGCAAAACCAAACCATTTGAATCTTGGTAAAATTAACAAAGTCATCCATTGAAGAAAGGAATATTATTCTGTGATGGTTAATCTCAGTTGCCAACTTGCTTGGCTTAACAAAGGCCCCAAGTACTTGGGGGTGTATCTGTGGTAAAGTTTACACAGATTAACTGAAAGGGTGAGGCTTCTCCTGAAGATTTGCAACTTCATCCTTTGGGCTAGGGTACTAGATGGGATACAAAAAGAAAAGGGAAAAAAGCCAGCTGAGGTCAGGCATCCTCTGTGCTTCCCCATCTTCTGAGAGTTGACCCCATTCCTGCTGCCACTGCCACTTACTCTTGACACCTGCCTTCCCAGACTGAAGGACTGAGTCCCCTGAACTGTGAGCCAAAATAAGCCTTTCTGCCCTTGGGTTGTTGCCTGTCTGAAGTTGGTCTCAGCAATAACCACAGGAAATGACACCCTTTTAACAAATGCTGCAGGGCAACTGTGCACCCACAGAAAAGCATGAAGTCATGCTTCCTGCTTACAGGAAGTCCCGACACCACGAAAAACATCAAAGACATTTAGGAGCCATTAAAAGGAATGTGGGACTGGCACATTCTACACCATGGCCAGACCTTGAGCGTTCAGGACTAATGAAGGAAGACGGACACAGGACTCCACTGTTGTGTCTACAGTAGGTAAATTTGTCAGACAACAGGCAGCTTTGGGACTGCTTAGACCTGTGAGGAGAGGAAGGACTGCTGAGGGCTATTGGGTTTCTGCGAGGGCTGATGATAATGTTCCAAACTTGACTGTGGTATGGCAAGTCTGAACGCCATTATAATGTGTGTTTTAAATAGTTGATAATTATACGGCAGGTGAATTAAAGCCCAATAAAATATAGCTGTAACATAAAAAGATTGTATGAGAGAAACTGGTTAAGTAAGGTAAGAAAAATAAACAAAATCAAAGACTGCACTTAGAACATACACCACAAAATTCTGACCTGACTGGAGAGCTCACTATAACAGTAATAAAAATGTAACAGACATTTCCATGTATAATATGATTATGAGGAAAATGTAATGGGCATTACAGCTGTGCAAAAATTCAAGGGCTGCAAATCAAGTTTGAGTTGTTTCTCCTGCACCTGAACTTGCCTTAGCACAGGTGCCTCCATCTTTGCTCAGAGCAAATAAAAAGCAAAACAC